CGAAATTTCTCGTCGTTGCGGAAACGTGAAACGTGCGCGCGAAACCGGAAGACGTGGATTGACCACGTCTTCCGGTTTCGCACTCAGACGTTTCAACCCCTAAGCGAATCGGCCGATTGTCGGCCAAAATCGCAACGTATTCTATATACATTATTTTTAATATAAAGAAAGGGATAAAAAATATTTAAGTGGGACTCCCATATAGCAGACATGATTTTCTTTCCGTTTTATTAAATAACTATCGGACCCGGCAAACGTTGTTTTGCCATATAAATTATTTGTAGGACAGAAAAAAATGTTTGCCGTGGACCACCCTTAACATTTAGGGGGATAAAAAATAGACGTCGTCCGATTCTCCACCCTGGCCGATATGAACACAAAATTTCACGAAAATCGGTCGAGCCGTTTCGGCCAGTTCAATTACAAACACTGTGACACGAGAATTTTATATATTAGATGTACGGAGCCTTTCGTGCGCAACTCCGTCTCTCACTGGGCCGGTTTTTGAATAATGGCGTGGCGCTGCCACAAAATTTTAATTAAAATTCTGTGTGTTTAATAGGAAAAGATAAACAGGGAAGTTTTTCAACGCGAATGTTAAAGTGATAAATGAGTCTTCGCATGTTAGCAATTAATTTGTGCGACCGTTGCATTTTGGTTGCACCATTGTGTAGGGACCGTCATAATTTCTATAAAGCCGTAGATTCGTTTGTGTTTTAGCGATTCGTTTTACTGTTTCGAAATAATATAACTTTGTAATTTGTATGGTTAAAAATGGTTTATATAAAATTGACACGGAGAAACATCTAGAATTAATGACTCCAGCATTTGTTCCGCACGAAAATTAAGACCCAAGAACAGATACGTCGCAACTAATATTTACTTACAACTCTTCCATTATTCTTCATTAAGGTACTAGCGTCAAAATAATTTTATGGCCCTGTATCATAAATTGAACTGGAATTTTTTTGTTTGTTTTTTGAACTTCAATTTTCTAGTTTTTTTTTCTTCTTGATAATCTGTTGATATTATCTTTATTTAATGTTACAAAGTGGCAAACGCCCGAACGAATAACCGTCGCCCATGGATATTTGCAGCACCCGTAGGGTTGCAAATTCATTACCTTTTAATAAAGTGGGCCCCGGCTACCTTACTACCAGACAACTACCGGGTAACTTACTCACCAGACAAAACGCAGGAGTGTAACACGTCTACCTCGCCTGTCTTCTGTGAGTTATTGGTAACCCGGACGCACCTGAATCATTTTTTCTCTGCATCATATTTTAATTAAATAATATCCCTTCGAGCATGTAACGCTCTCGTTTCTACCTTAATTTTCTTTGTTTGACGAAGGTAATCCGATTTCGCACCGCAAACATGTGTACTGCTTCCAAGGAGTCGACTACGCGAGGCTGTGAACCAATACACAACAACCCACACGTTTATGTTAACGGCAGCATAAAAGCTAAAGAGCTTGTGTACAAACAAAATATTACAACATTTTAGAGTATTACTAAAATGTTGATATAATATTTAACTGTTATAAAATTTCATACTGTTAAAAATTGACACTTTATATGCTTGTTTGCAGTTCAAGCATGAAAAATGGAATCTGATAAGAAAAGGAATAATTAAATATAGTGTTTAATTTACTTTTGAGCAAGTTAGTAGTTAAGTCTCCTCTAATTTATTCAGTACATTTCGTAAGTTCTTTCGTAAGCGACTGAGTGATTAAACTTTTTTAAGAATATCCATTCACATTTCAAAGTTGATATGGAACGATGGAATTATCAAATGGTATTTCAACAATCCAACTATACATAGCATTCCAGTCTTCGTCTCCTCTCTAGTTCAACAAAATTTGACTTAAAATCGAAATAGATGTTGGGGTACTGTTACAGTTTTAATTTATACAATGGTTATTCATTCAGTAAGCAATTTTACTGTTACAAACATCCAACTTTACTGTTACAAAATTCGCATAATTATATTCTCGTATGACGAGTTAATTGAATATATCGGATAATAATATCGGACACATCGGACAGATCTTTTACACAACGTTCTCTAGTCCCAAACTAAGCAAAGCTTGTACTGTGGTGCTAGATAAACTGATAAACATACTTAAACATACTTAAACATACTTTTCTTTTGTAAATAAATACATATTATACATATATAAACACCCAGACTATGTTCATCACACAGTATTTTTCCAGTAGTGGGGATCGAACCCACACCCTCTGGCGCAAGAGGCAGGGTCACTACTCCCCACGCCAATCGGGTCGTCAATAATAGTGTATTTAAAAACAAATATTTAAATACACTATTATCTTAGCACCCTAAAGAAGTTACCTCTTCCGTGGAAAAGGATTTATCAAATTTACAAATACCACGGCCTTTGAGTCAGCGCCAAAAACAAGCTCGAGGAAAGCTTTACTTTATAAGGAAACTAGCGACCCTCCCCGGCTCCGCACGGGTGCAATGTATTATACATATGAACCTTCCTCTTGAATCACTCTATCTAGAAAAAAAAAAAAACCGCATCAAGATCCGTTGCGTAGTTTTAAAGATCTAAGCGTACATAGAGACAGACAGACAGCGGGACGACTTTCAAAGTCAAAGTCAAAGTATATTTATTCAATATAGGCCTAACTTAAGCTCTTATTGAACGTCAACAAAAATCTACCACTTTGTTTTATATGTAGTGATGCACATCAAAGAAAAGTTTACATTTCAAGTGACATTTTACCACAGTCACTCACTTCTTTTGCCTTCCCGGAACCCCTCCACTAACACTTAAACTTTATGGTATGGTATTAAAGCTCAAATTGACTTTTAAGTATTATTAAGAATCTTTTGTACGGATATATAGAAAAGTGTTGTTTTTAGACTTTTTCAGGCAATTTTTGAATTTTTTTCTTACATAAGAACCTTCTCCTGATAATAACAAACACAACAAAAAATAAACAACGTGAAATCGGTCCAGCCGTTCAGGCGTGATGGCATGACCAAGGGAAATAGGGATTCATTTTTACATTTATGGGAATATATAATTTTCCTTTAATATAAAGGCGGTACTCTCTTTAGATAGTCATAGGAAATCATTACTGTCAACTTAATAATTTTTTACCATAATCTATTGCCCCAAAATTAGTAAAGTATTGTTAGTATCTAAGTAAGTGTAGTATTAGTAAGTAGGTTTGATACGGTTTTTTATATAGCAAAAAAACCGCATCAAGATCCGTTGCGTGGTTGTAAAGATCTATGCATACATACGGACAGACAGACAGCGGGACGACTTTGTTTTATACTATGCAGATGAGATAGTGATTGTGGAAATAGATATTGGGTTGTGATTCTGAAATAATCGTTTTTCAGCACACGCACGCACTCAAGTACGCACGCACCCACGCATACAAACTCACAAAAGTACGTCATATGAAACCCACGCTTTATGATTCGATCTATTTTACATGTTTAGCAAAGTCGTATTATGAAATGCACAATAAAATATGATGTGACATCAGTTTTATCGCATTCGAGACCAAAATATCATCAGTATTCCATTAATCCGGTTTAACGTTATCGTGATTTATAATCGTTTGCTGTTTTAGTATTGGTTTTGTGTTAATAATTTTGCACATCCTCTCTGAAAACATATCGTTATAACGAATGCCAATTAAATGAACGTAACAGACTAATTTAAACATAAGATTAGATTTATTAAAGTTCTTACGTTATTTATAACAGCCTCTGGATTGTCAAATCTCGAGATGTGGAAAGGTCTATAATTTATACGTAATTTTTTCGTTTAAATTATATTTCAAACATGTCCGATTAATGTGACAAAGTAGTGTAATTATAGAAGCGTAACGTTCTACTGCCCCACAAAAGCTAAAATTCTACCGTAGAAGGAATTTTAAAAGGATAAAATCAAAAATTTTTAGGATATCTAAACATATATTAAATTTCTTACACATACAGAAGCTTTTCTTACATCAGCAGATTTGCGTCTTGACCTTAAGATACTTATTTTAGATACATATACAAGTAGTGTTAGTTTTTTCACCAAATTAACAACCAGATCCAATTTCTGTCTTAGTCTTCTTTCTTTTATATGAAGCAAACATAATAAATAAGTGATGAAATGACTGATAACGGGCTCAGTTTAACTTCTTTGTTCTATTGTCAACATTGTCAGCCTATTCAAATGGGATGACGAGAGACAGGTTTAACAGCTGCATTTATAAGTCAGATAATTGCCAATTCCAAAGGCTAATAGAAGAAGATGGGGTGTTTTAAAATTGAAAGAGCGCGGAGTAATTTAAATTGGACAAAAAATGGATCAAGCAAACGGGAAGGGCGCAATGCCTGAAGTAATAGGAAGTTTGTTTGTTGTATTGATCAATACAACAAACAACTTTCCAACTACCAATACGAACTTTGCGGTGGTAGGGCCACGCAGCAGCCTCGGCTGTTGCTCAAATGGGCCGGCCCGTCCGGGTAAGTCCCACGACCTCACAGAAGACCAGCGTAAAGTGGAAGTATGACAAATACTTTCGCGTTTCGTCTGGTGAGTGAGGTGGTCGGAGCCCAATTTTCAAAAGGCTGTCAACGCATCTGTAACCCTCGGGTGTGGCAGATGTCCATTGGCGGTGGTATGCACTTAACATCGGGTGAACCGTCTACTCGTTTCGCAACTTTTCACATGAAAAAAATATTATATCCGACGAAAACAAAAGGGCCAAGAAATTTCCCCTTTCTCTTCCATCTCAAGCCATCCATGTCAAGCTTGTGTTTCACTTGTTACATTGGAGCCAAAAACAAATTACAATTTTCTTTCATTCAGAATTGCCAATAGGCAAAATCATATATATAGTCAAAGGTTAAAACTTCTCATCATGGACATTATGGAAGCTCATAGTCGAATTAGGTTTTAAAATTCTCTCTATTCTAAGTTTTAATTGTCATGTAAGCAAATTTTAAAAATCATTTTAATTTCTTGGGATGAACTCTAAAAACAGATTTTGTCCGGGAGCCAGAAACAATCCCTTCTTCTCGATTTCTACTTGGGAAGGCAGTGGTGCGTTGGGCGTTGGTTGAATCTTAAAGTTACGTATAACAGTCGACAGGGTGAAGCGGAGGTTTTGTTCACCGAAACGGCGACCTGCAAAAAACAAATCTGTCAGTGAACACAACACACACTGAACGTTGAACATCAGCATATCTGTCTTCTTAAATACGCAAATCAGATATGTTTATGTTATTGTGCAAAATAAAGGTTAGTTATTATAATTCGAGGGAGAGCTAGTATTTTATTTTGTAGGTAGAAAGGCAGAATAAGCTTAACTTGGTGTTAAATGATTAACACCGTAAACAGATATACACAACATTATGTAGATGCTTCTTCAGAAGACTGTGATCAGTTGTGTCTCTCGGATGGTGAGTAATAAACTTAAAAGTAAAGTGTTATACTGTTATGCTACTTGTTTGCTCTGGTTAATTTTTTTCCATTCATTGTTGACATCCTTTTTTTTGGTATCGGGGGGAAATATTCAAAAGATACCCTGTCATGTCAGGACAGGGTATCACATATTATGTGGGGTTCGTACCCACTAAAGCCCCCTCGGTGGGCACCTTCTGTACCTTTGGAGGGACTCCGGGATCTCCTACGGAACGCATCGGTATCCTTCAGTACTGCGCGTGAGCACGCCTCGGAAAAGGCTAAACCTTCCCCGATCACTTGCAGCAGCACGAGACCACTTGGTACTGCTGCCAATCCGTGTCCTCTTTTAGTCGCCTTTTACGACAGGCAGGGGATACCTTAGCTCTATTCTACGAGCCCGAGACTACAGGGCTGTCATTGTTGACATCCTACATTCGGCGAGTTGACGGCACGAGTTAACCGTTTTTATTTAACACGTATAGACATCATCGTTTAGCTTGATTATCGTATATACTTTTGTCAAGGCTTATTAAGCTCGTAGTATAGGACGACCCTCACTAGCAGCACACACTTGCGCAAGTGTGCTGATGTATTCAGGTGGGTCGGGATCGAGATTCGTGGTAAACCACCAATAAATTGGTGATATTTCAGTAGAGGACCCAATAGAGGAATTAGATAATCCCAATCGTTTAATCCCACTTTGAATGTGGTACGGTGGTGTTGTGGTGGTATTGAATACCAGACAGGGTATCTCTACCCTCCACGGGGGAAACGTGGTGATCGGTGTCGCTACGGTGGCCGGGAGAACCCCTAGTTTTGAGCTCAGGGGACTTCTATGTTTTCGAAAGTGTTTGCATGGCCCAGCCAATATGTGGACCGAATTAAACATGTGAGTTTAAGCGGGTGCGAGTCCCGCAAAGTAAATAAATAACGACTTTTACAGAGTTACGCAATCAATGGTTCCCTCATCACCATGACACTTAAAAATTTAACTTCATTAGTATAAGTATAAGCTACTTGTAAAATTTTTGATGCCTTACCAATACAATGCCTTGGTCCTTCGCCAAAGGGTATGTAAGAGAAGGCTTGCATTTCTTTTTCGTTCTCCGGCAAGAAGCGTTCCGGGTCAAATTTATATGGCTCTGGGAACATGTCAGGATCGTAATGCATGCCGATCGCGTTAACGTATATCGGTGTTCCAGCGGTGATTGTAAGATTTTCATCGATCTGATAATCCTTCGCTGCTATTCTGTCGAACCATCCCATAGGCGCGTATTTCCGGAGGGTTTCTGGGAAAAGTGAGTTTGAAATTTATACAGGGAGGCTTTTCAAAGAATTAGATTCTAGATATGAATAATGTTCTATGAAAAATGATAAATATTTAAAATCACGAGTAATTAATTAATTACATTCATTTTAACTTATCTCAAAAAGTGCGTGATTTATGGGCAACTCATTTATTTTACGCGCGATCATTCATAACTAACACGCACACAAGTTCGTTTCAAAAGTATACGATGCATTTATGAATGACTAAAGCATTGTCAAGAAGTTCTGTTTTTTAGGGAAAAGAAAGGCAATTTTATTGAAAAAAAAAGTTTGTTTTCATTTCAATAAACTATTATAATACCGAGTCGGAACCTCCTGTGTGAATTTGGGCACCTTTAGAAAAGCCACCCTGTATAAATGAGTAACTCAACTGTGGTCGGGCAAGGTGATAAGCATAAATATTCAAATGGAATTGAAAATTTTGTTAATATTATTTTTAAGTGAAATTGTTTTTGTTGCTAAAAGGTAAATTTTTTTACGAACCTTTTATAACACTGTTCAAATAAACAAGTTCAGATAATAGCTTTGCATCAAGTTCATTGTCTCTTATAGCATCCATTTGTTCCTTGAACAGTTTCTCCTAAAACAATCATTAATCACGTTAGCATAGAAATTCGTCACATCGTTTTGAATGCATCTAAAGAAGACAGCAAAATTATTTAATTTCGCCAATAACAATGACACCAGTAATACCTGCAAATCTGGTAGAAATGCCAGTTCGTAGATACAGAAAGTCAAAGCAGACGACGTTGTGTCGGATCCTCCCAGAAGAAAAATCGCTGCTTGGGCCACCAATAAATCCTCAGATAGGTCTGAAATAATTTTCATTAGATTCTTTTGGAGGTTTTCCTAATTTTTGAATTAGACAAGTTTATAAGACAAGTATTTTTTTTTACTAACGAAAAACAAACCCGACTTCAAATCTCGCTTTGTATTCATTTTATAATTGATTTTCAGGAGTTGCCTCCGTATCTCCGGAGTCCAAGATCCAACACCAATGAAATTAATATGGGCCCACATGGGAAGCATCAGCTTTCAAATAAAAAAGAATCATAATATTCGGTTCACCCAGTCGAAGGTTCTGAGATAACAAACATAAAAAAATACAGTCGAATTGAGAGCCTCCTCCGTTTTTGAAATCGGTTAAAAAGTGATATAGTTTGATCACTTTAGCAAAGCGACGTACGAAAAAAGGCTAAAAGAGAAAGAAAAGAGTGAAGAGTGACCTTCATTGTCCTTTTTGCACTCTTGTCTCATTTTCAGCAAAGCGTCTAGCAGGTCCCTGTTTTCGTTTATCTCTGCGTCCAATCCGCCTCGCTGATCAACCATGGTACGAAAGATTTTTCTGAAGTACTCAGTCACGTGTTTTGGGAATAATGAAAATCTGTAAGTGCGCACGTGATTATACAATGTTGATAAATTAACAATCCATACTCACTTTTATTGACAAGTCTTTAAAATTCTGTGCTTACGATGTAAATGATGAACGCGAAACAATCGAATACATATCCAACTGTTTTACAAATGAAAACCGTGGTTTTGATTAAGATTAAAATTTGCAAAATTTGCCTAGTTCTATTACATACTTTTTTTGATAAAGAACTGAGATTGCCCAGTTTATTTTATAAAATTATTCAAAAAAAATCATTTAAAGTCCATTCAATTTTTTTTTCTGAAGTTGCCATTTCATTCTATAGTCATAAATTTACTATAAAATATGTACAAAAATTTATTTAGTACCGATGTATCAACATTGAAATTAGTAGATTTGATTTATTGAAAAATATTTACGGATTGAGATTGCCCAGAACTATTGTCAAAAACTAATACATGTTCATTCATCATGTTGTATTCTTCAAACTTCATGTTGTAACAGTGAAGTTATCAATGTCAAACAGAATGTGAAGGATCATATTTTCACGCATATTTCACTTAGGGGGAACAATTACAGACGAAACTCTTACACACTTAATGTAAGTAGATTAATCAACTGGTTCTCGTGTGAGTCAAATTTGTTTAACATGAACATAATTTATTAAATTTAAACATTGCCCTCACTTTAGGATAACATTAATCTGTAAGGACTTTTTGCAAACATGAATTTGACGTGGACAAACACCCAGATGCGAAACAACTATCTGTGGGTCACACAAATACTCGTAGTTGTCCCGTGTGGGGATCGAACCCACGACCACCGACGCCGAAGCCAATACCTTGGTAACTGCGCAACGGAGTCATCAATTAATTTGTTAAGTGATTTATCAAAACCGTTCATTGAGCGATATTAGTATCTACCACAATTAAATACTTCCTTGTGATCAGTGTCAAATGATAACGCAACATTTGACTCCTAATCTCAACCAGTGACTCCTAATCTCTAATGTATTTAGATGCGATGTTATTATTAATTGTTATTATTAATAAGCTAGGTTGATAAAACTAAAGACCCAGGAGCGATCTTATTTTCGTATAATAAGATATAACATTATCATCTAACATTTTTGGAAATATTAGTTAATCACAAACTAATATTTCTTACTCAAAATCAAGTTCAGTAATAAAAACCTCAGATTCTCCTATGCTCTCATCCACCACACAACTGTCTCTTACCTGAAGAAATCAACAAGCTCCGGTATGAAGAATATGCAGCACCAGTTAAGCCCCCGTATCCAGCTGTAGGTCGAGAACTCCTTCGTGACAGCCCTAAGGGGCCCCTCGCCTGTGATTGTCGAGTCGCACGTTATACCGAACGCTGCCATTCCGATTACGTCCGTTGTGTAGTCGGACATCACCATCTGTAAAAATTGTACTACTAACGAACCAAGCCAAGCCCCTCTGTACACTGGGTACTAGCATAGCCCTTAAAGAGGTTACAATGAGAATTTTAGGAAATCACTCCTCCCATACCCACATAACTCTAGTTTTGTTTTTAAAGAAGTGCGGATTTGTGTGATTTATGTACAATTTAATCTATTAAAGAAAATAAATTTGTTTGATATATTGTATTATTGATACAGACAATTGTAGCTAATATGATCGGTTTCCGAACGCAGCATAGTAACAAGCGCCCTACACTATCAAGCGTGAATGTGTATGTCATAATATGTTATGTGTGGTTATTAATTATAAAATAAATTTCTATTATGTAGCTACGTGCCAGTTATTATTCAACACCCTACTTCAAATAATGTTTATACACAATAGTTTGATTGAGGACTTCGTTAGCAAGAGAGCTATCTTTAGAGTCAATGCTGTCTCTGCTTATTACATTGCTTCTCCCAACTCTTTTAATCGTTTAGTTTACAAAGATTTCTTTCTATCTTCTCTGACTTGTAAAAATAAGTGAAATATCACAGGTTTACGAGTTTAACCCACAAAATTCCTTTTAACATATAAACTTCTTTGTGTCTACGAGAAATGATTCAATATTCCTCATGCGGGTATGTGATGAAAATAATATTAGAATAAACGCCTAAATAATGAATTGATTTGCACCTACCCGTACGTTGACGCGTTTATTCTGGTTCATCTCTCTTTTGATCCGCTGTACCAATTCCTTATTCTTCTTGGCAACTAGTCCGTGTGTCATTTTAAGCTTTGCCGCTGTGAAGACGGCTGTCAGGCGTCTTCTTATCGTAGTCCAAAGGGGATCCTATGTAACAGTAACAGTATAAAAATACAGTAACGCCTCTCTGTACAGAGGGTATTAGGCGCCATGGTTTGGCAGACTTCACGTATTATCGAAATATTCTTTTTCTATTTCGAAAATATGTAGTTTATAACCGACTTCAAAAAAGGAGGAGGTTTCTCAATTCGACCGTATATATATATTTTTTATGTGTGTTCGCGGATAACTTCGTCGTTTATGAACCGATTTTGGTCTTTATTTTTTTGTTGGAAAGGAGATATCCCAAGGGTGGTACCATGATAAGGAAACCCGGATCTGATTATGGCATCCTAGAGGAATCAAGGGCAATCCTCAAATGTTAAAGTTATCAACAATGTTTGAAGTCGGTTTTTTTTTGTTGAAAATTATTGATGATCGATTTCTTACAATTATTTCTTTCGCCGTTAACTTCGTAACAAGTCAGCATTTAGAAATTAAGTGGTGCCGCCATCAGAATTTGAATTCAGTTTGCTTAAGTATATTAATTGAAAGCGAGCGCCCGGCCGGGCCCTAGACTATCACGGCTTTATGTAACAATATTTTTGGATAATCCTTAAAGTTTCTAGGAGTCTATCAGCCTTATCCCAGTTTTTGTGATTAAGGTTCCTACCAAGCAAGTATTTTATGTCCTCCCAATAAGGACTAGCAAATTGGTGCTTTTCAAAGTCAAATTTAAAGAGAAATTTAACAATTAAATTTCAATGCAAAGGAAAATTTATAAAACCTTTTAGTTAATGCTATAACTTTGTATTAAAAGACGCCTTCTTTGTTTATCGTTTCTTATTACTCTTTAATGTTTTTTACGTTTAAAGAAACTATTTCATTCGAATAATATAAAATACTAATTTGCATTGAAATTTATGAAAAGTAAAATATGAATTTTATATATATATCTAAATTCTTGAATAATTTTCCTGCGTTACCAGGGTTTGTACCTGAGTCTAATAGGAAATGCACCAAAATTTAAAAATATTTTAACAACCAATTCATGTTCACGTCATATTTTACGGTTATATCAAGTTCATGCTATGGATATGGAGCAATTTTTAATTTTCGATAAGGAATTAATCATGTGTAAATTATTTTACACATGATTAACTCCTTATATTTATCGAAATTCAAGTTACTAGTCAATGTTTCTATGAAACTAGAGGTTACAACAAGACATTCGCTGCCGTTTAGGCTTATGAACGTTACATGTCTCCGTACTTACGTTAACCGTGAACAAATTGAGGGCGCCAATGGGGTCGCTTTTGCCAGAGCTCAGCAGACGGTCCCTGAAGAGGGCGGAGTCCTTGACGAGGACTTTGCGCGCGATCTCCGGGGAGTTGATGATGAGGGCGGGCCTCCAGAACAGCCACATGCCCACGTAAGGGGACCTGAAGCGTTCGTATATATCGCGCATCCATAACCCCTGCAAGCAGTTTTTCAAACATTAACGTCCGGTTTCTGAAACACTGATCAAATTCTTTGAATTGATCATTCGGATCATTAGGAAGATCATTCTGATCAATTCAGAGAGATTAATCTGAGACCTCTTTGGCAACTCAAATAACATTTGAAAATCTATTTGACAGCTGATTAGTTTACTCCTACGATGATCAGTGTTTCAGAAACCGGGCGTCAATTTAACTATTTAATTATTATCATGACTAATCGCCGGTTCCTTTAAAAATATGTCTATTCGAAGCTTGGTGGATTCTAGAGAAAAATAAGGTGTTACTATAATAGAATACTTTTGTTCTTATGATCGATGTATTATGGACTAGTAATAGATGCTTTCGATTACGATTATGATTATCACAGTGAATATAGTAGTAGCATTTAGTATTTTGAAAGTCAACTGGAACAGTTACTAAAGTACTAAAGAAATGTTCCAAAAGCATATTTGTTAAAGCACGCCTGGCCTATGATTGTGGGTTCGGTGTTATAACTTAAATGAGAAAAGTATTATCATCATCATCATCATTTCAGCCTGTAGACGTCCACTGCTGTACATAGGCCCCCTCTAGGGATTTCCACTTGGATCTGTTTGAAGCGGCTTGCATCCAGCGACGTCCCGCGACTTTGGACAGGTCGTCAGTCCATCTCGCGGGTGGTCGCCCCACACTGCCCCATCGGCCGTCAGTTCTGCGAGCTATGTGCCCTGCCCATTGCCAGTTCAGCTTGCAGACCCGCTTCGCTATGTCAGTGACCTTTGTTCTTCTGCGGATCTCCTCATTCCTGATTCGATCTCGCAGAGAAACCCCGGTCAAAAGTATGAGAAAAGCATTAAAATATTTTTAAATGTATTCAAGAATGGCTCACTGGATTTTGTCGCTGCAGGAAAGTGAGGCTTCCCAAGATCGGGTGAGGCGGAAGATGGGGAACACCCTTTTTGGCCCAATATTGTCTCACGCCCGTCCAATAGACATACGCCCAAATCACGAGGCAAACAACTATGCATAGTGGCAGTAGTAACATCTATAAGAAACAAATATTAAAAGAATTAAATTAACACGTTAATTTCTAGAACTAGAGTCGTGGAAAAGGGATCGCAAGGATTTTTAGAATTTGCAGTATATAGAATTAAATACACTTTAGGAACGTTCGTAACAGCCAAAGAAACTTGATTTAGACAGCATTTAATTACAAATTTGACCTTCATTTTTGACTAAACGTCTCCATGATAAAATCGTAAGAATGAAAAAAAAAAGCAGTTCTTACAAAGATCTGATTGGTTTATAATACGTTTGCAACATACCAACATTGCATAAAAACTACTCACAATTGCTATTACTTCACAAACCTGTTACTTCACAAACTACTTGTTTAACGATAGCGTTAATTCCAAGAACATTCGGATACATTAAAGTAATCAAAACAAGTTTTTTATACGAGTAACACATCATTTAGCCTTATTAAAAAAGGCCTTGAAAATGAATAAGAAGTACGAATATTAAACTAAGCTAAATATATCTAAATAACAGTCATAAAGACAAAAATGTTTGTTGATATATAGGGAATGTGGGCTTCTAAACTTTTTTAAGGAATATTTCAGTATGAAAAACTGCATTTATGTCAAAAACAGACAATAACTTGTTTTAAAAGAGTAACTTTTAATTTGGTAATCTGAATAAAACATTCATACCATCAATACAAACCAAAAATTTAAATGAGTCAACTATGAAGAAACCGCTTAAGTAGATTAGACATATCCATTAGACAAAAACTATATAATCACCATATTTGGTTAGTATGACACTGAAAGAAAACCAGTAGTAGTGAATTAAAACGTTTGTAAAAGAAATTAAAACATGTAACTTTGCACAAGTTACATGTTTTAATTTCTGAATATGCTTTAACTATATATTTCTATATAGTTTTATTACCGTCATCATTATTATCCTCCTTCCCGGAAAATCTTCCAAAGACCCTGTCACCTTACTTGAACAGTGATTAAGAACCTTTAGTGATTAAGAACCCCACGTAACCCTGACGTGGGGTTCTTAATCACTAACACCCCCTCGGTGGCCACCTTCTGTACGTTTGGAGGGACTCCGGGATCTTCTACGGAACGCACCGTTGTCCCTCGGTATTGCGTTAGCACGCCTTGGAGAAGGATAACCTTCCCCGATTCCCTCGCCATCTTGCAACAGCTCGAGACCACTTCGTATTGCTGCCAGTCGACATACGACAGGCAGACCTTAGCCCTATACTATGAGCGCGAGACTGCAGGGCTGTCCTTCATCCTCTTCCCTTGTCACAACTAGATGGGGTCGGCACAGGGTTAATCATGTTGTGAGGGGGGTTTAGGCTACGATTTTTACGACCGGCCGCCAGCCTAACGTCAACCGTTCTTGGGAACAGTTACCCAGATCCGAAACAATTATCAGTGTGTCACACGAATACTTGTCCCGTGTTGGAACCGAACCCACGACCTCTGACGCCGAAGCCAATAGCTTACCAACGCCGCCACCGAGTCTTATTATCGACGACTTATAGATATTAATTCTATTAAACAAACTTACATTTGTTAATTTTGTCCTTGAATATAAAATGAACACAGTAGATCTACAGCTGAGAGAAGACGCAAGTTCGGAAGCTGCCACACTACTAACTTGACGTCTTCGGATGACTTGTATTTATAACGCATGTCTACACTTACGCTTGTGAATCGAAGTTTTAAGTTGGAGTCATTGTTTTTATATACGTTATCAACAAGATAAGGCAAAGATATAAGCAACGATGAGTTGACTGAAAATCTTTGAAATAAAATAAAAGTCATGCGGGTAGATAAAGGTAGCATTCAAGTCTGAGAACTGAGGTGCAGGTTTGAATCCCTGCAATTTGCGAAAAAAATTGTGTTTACGCATTTTGCATTTACGATTTTAATCTTATATATAAAATTCTCGTTTCACAATGTTAGTTACCTTACTCCTCCGAAATGGCTTTAATGATTTTTACCAAATTGTATATGCATGTTCAGTAGGTCTGTGAATCGGCTATTATCTATTTTGTCATACCTCTAAGTGATAAGGGTTCTTCACCGTTAACATTTTTTTTTAATTTTTGGACAAAATTTTTTGTTTTTATTTTGTTATGATACTGCATACAAAAATACATACAACCCTAAATTTTTACCCCTATACGCAGACGTAGTGGCGGGCAGCAGCTAGTTTTTTATATAATATTTGCATAGTAATGAGGCGAAATGTGTCTATACTTTTATCTATACCTACTGAAAATCTTTATCCACGATATTTCTGCATATAAAAATGTTTAATATTAAATGTTTTTATTTGATTTGATATATTAAGTGCAGATACTAGCATTAACAATTAATTTCAGTAGCAAAGGCGACATCTCTAGTTTTCAAATATTCACAGTAAGAAAATAATTTGAGAAAGTGTGATTGCTGTATATAAATCACATTAGGTAATGCCAAGCAATGCAATAAAAATAAAGTAGATAGGACATCGAGAACTTTACGTTGTGAGGATTACTCTAAGCTTAGTGGCTAGTGTCTAGACGCGTTATCCCAAAGACGTTGGTTCGAATCCGATGAAAAATCGCGAAAAATTTTGCGACCGCGTCATTGACACATTTTTATGTTTCATATTTAGTGCAGAGACTAGCACTAACATTATAAATATTAGATTGAATAAAAATAATCTTAACTACACAAAGCAACTTTGTGATACGTTTTCGAAGCTTTTTGAACAACTTATTGTTCTACAACGGACCCAAAAAACAATAAATCGAGAGAACCATATATTATTTTCAAAGTTCTGTTTTGCTACTCATACGAAACAAAAAAGGGGATAACTACGCAGTTTCTTTCGCCTGTTCCTTCTCCGTTAGAGGAACCTCATTACGGAACTGTGCTAGATTGAACAGATGAATAAATGATTCGAAATTTGATTTAAAACATGATTTGAAATTTGAAACTGACAGTTTGCCGTGCAAAGGGCCAGTTTGACAAAGAAACTAAGTACGCTTCATGGAATCTCTCATCAGCCGTGACACGAAGACGCAATATTTTCCGTTCCGGCGACTATGGCCTTCTCAGGCCTCCCCGATTTTTAAAACACCCGATCTGCTGTGCCGATACAATTAACACAGCACGTCTCACGAACCCCCGTATTGAGTGGCAGACACCCCCACGCTGCTTCAAGTTATACTTCTTTTGGCGCGTTTGGAAAAGGTTATGAGAAAATAAAATTTTCACGATGCGCGCGCACACCGACCCCATAAAGTGATATGATTATGCATGATAGTTGAAGAATGATATTACCGTGGTAACCAATAACAACTTTTTGACATTTACCGAATATTTTTTTTTCATACAGTTTATCGACAAGATTAAATCTATCTAAAACTAGCTGTGCCCGCGACTTCGTCCGCATGGAATTTAAAATAAAAAAATTCTAAAATTAAAGTAGCCTAAGTTACCCCATATTACATTAGTTATCTGCCAGTGAAACTCCCGTCCAAATTGGTCCAGCTGTTTCAGAGATTAGCCAGAACAAACAGACAGACAGACAGACAAAAATTGTAAAAAATGTTATTTTGGTATAGGTACCACGTATACATCCATATGCATTTAGTAAAAAGCGGTTATTTCAATATTACAAACAGACTCACCAATTTTATTTATCTGTACAGATTACATATTATCTAATAAACCTAATCCACGCGGCATGGTGCCAAGAACGCTAGCTGCATTTCCTCGCTGAATAGTTATGCTTAACCTTTGAGCGAGAAAAGAACCAGCTCTCTTGTAACCAGCCGCGGCATTAAGCCTAGGACATAAACTTTAAAAAAAAAAGATGTGGGGACCCCACGGACCTAAAGTGCAAATGAACAAAAACAGCAAATGGCACAAATACATAATCTAAACATAAAATCATATTAAATCATATTTGCGCCATTTACTTACATTTAACTATAAATCCAAGTTATATATTTAATGTCTTTTTCACATACAGATGGGGACTGTCACAGGGGATAAAATTTATTTAGATCTTTTGTTACGCTAAAGAAGTAGAACTTCTTACGTGGTTACATAAGTACACATACACTTTTTTTAAATGCGACGATTTTGCTATTTAGAATAAGACTCCCGAATCTCCATTTGCTGATATTCAAAAGACAATAGAGACAAAGGAGGATAGATCTGCATTCACTTATAATTATTAGTAACTACCGACGCGCATATAAACCTACATATAAACCTTGCTCTTGAATCACTCTATCTAGTAAAAAAACGTATCAAGATCCGTTGCGTAGTTTTAAAGATCTAAACATACATAGGGACAGACAGACAGCGGGATGACTTTGTTTTTACTATGTATTGATAATACCCACGCTAGTTTACCAGTTCATCTCTTGACCCCACATAAGAGCTGATGGTGACTAACGAGAGATATGGTCAGTGTAAGTCCGATAAAGCATGTATATGGATTTTCTAAAAATCAGTGAACTCTTGGATTGGCCAGGTGACCCGTAAGTGATTTCCCCATGTTAGGAAAGGCATAAGATTCGTATTTTTCATATCTTATCAAAGATATATTATTAGAAATAGATAATTTAATAATAACTAATAATGGGTGACAAGGTGGCGCCGTTGCTAAGCTTACGGCTTCGGCGTCGGGGGTCGTGGGTTCGATTCCCACACGGGACAATTATTAAGGTATTTGTGTGACCCACAAATAATTGTCCCGGATTTGGGTGTTTGTTTCCCAAGGAGGGCTGACGTCAGGCAGGCGGCTGGTTGTAGAAAACATAGCCAAAACCACTTACATGATTACATGGTTCTCATGTTGTGCCGACCCCACCTAGATGGGACAAGGGCAGCAGAATGATGATGATTATTAAAAATATGTTTTAAATTACATTTTCAACGCTAACAAATGTGCGGTGGTCTCTATGTTATTACACGTCCTTATCTACATTGCGTTTATCGATCCGTTTTTTTGTTT